GGTTCATTCCCTTCCCTTCCCTCCGGAAGCAGGAGGATGATGACGAGGTGTCTTCCCTTCCCTTTCCCCCAGGACAATGAGGGAGAGGGTCCGTCCCGTCCCGTGTCCCCAAGAAGGAGGAGGAGGAGGAGGAGGAGGAGGAGGATGTTCCGTCCTTCCCCTTTTCATCAGAAGGAGGAGGAAGAGGTACCTTCCCTTCCCTTCCCACAGGAAAGGGGTGGAGGATGCTTCCCTTCCCCCAGAGCAGAGGAGGAGGAGGTTCCTTCCCTTCCCTTTCCCTCAGAAGGAGGAGGAGGGGGAGGAGGTTCCTTCCCCTCCCTTTCCCTCAGGGAGGACGAGGAAGAGGTTCCCTTCCTGCCCCTGGCCTCCTCGCTCAGGGCCCTCGGCGGAGCAGGAGGAGGTGCGGCCGACGGACTCTGGCGCTGCCAGCTGCCTCAGGGGGCTGGGCCCTGGGGGAAAGGTCCCAGCAAGAAACAAACGCCCCCTGCTGCGCACGGGCCCTGTTTTTTGTTGTTTCGGACAGGTCCGAAAAAAAACTGGAGCAGTGGATTCGGGGGGCGTTTTTCTTGCTGGGACCTTCCCCCAGGACGGCCAGTCCCTCCACAAAGGGATCTACAGGCGCCGCAGGGAGAGAGAGAGAGAGAGAGAACAAAAAAAAAAAAAAGAGAGAGAGAGAGAGAACAGAGATAGAGGGAGGAAGAGAGAGAGAGAGAGAAGCATGACACCCTCAAAGAAGCTCCAGAAAGGCTCCAGCCCGTCTACTCATCCAGGGTGGATCTGAACAACGGACCGCATAACATCCACCAGGCCCCCTTTGCGCCCCAAGCCGCAATTTCAAGTGTTCGATGTTACAATCCTGCTGTAAATTCCGCACGAGGGGGGGGGGCCTCAAACCGGCAATTTACCACCTCGGATCGCATGCTCTGAATGCCCGCGGGGGCGTGGGACACGTAAACAAATGTATAAGATTCGCGTCCCCGAAGCCTTAGCCCCTCGAAAATTACACCAAATTCGCGCCCCCGAAGACATATCGCAAGTTCATCCGTGTGCGCGTCCCCAGCAACGAATCCTCATAGATTATACAAAATTCGCTTCCCCGAGGCCATAAACCCTCGCGAAATCACACCATATTCGCATTGCCGAGGGCAAGCGTACTCCAAGGCGCCCGAAGATGGTTCCAAGACGGCCCCAGAAGGACCCAAGAGGCCCCAAGAGCGCTCCACGAGGCCTCCCGAGAGAGCCCCAAGAGGCCAAAATCGTCGACTTCACCAAAGCGTTTGAAGGATTTGGGCCTTCTCGCATTTTCGGCTCTCCGACGCTCCAAGACGGCTCAAGAAGCTCTCAAGACCGCCCCAAGACAACCTGAGACGCCTCCAACAGGACCCCAAGACGGCCCAAGAGTGCTCAAAGATGGCCCAAGAAGCGCTTCGAGAAGCCCCGAGAAGTCCGCAGGAGGCGCCCAAGACGCGCCCAAGAGGCCTCACGAGACCCCAAGAGGCCCCCAAGAGGCGCCCAAACCGCCTCCAAGAAGCCCCCTGGAGTATCCCCACGACACCACAACACATATTCAAGAGGCCTCAGACCCACTACCCAGGCACGGTGGCGGGATGGGCCGAAAGCAACTAGGATCCGCTCACTGTCGATTCATCGCAGGGGTGCCTGGCGTGCTAGACGATCTCGGTTTGGGTTTTGGTTTTTTTCCAA